AATATTTTATTACAAAATTATTTTGCTGATTTTTGGCTTTGATCGTTTAAAAAAAAAAAAGAAAAAGAAGACGTGATCTTGTTCTTCTAATTTGATGATTATGGTGTTTTGTTGATTCAAAATACAGATTCCATGAAGCCTTCATGTGGTATTGATCAACTACAAATTCGATCTTGCTGCGAAGACGATGACTCCAACGGGTATATACGGATCCGATGGAGGTGATGATATAATGGCGTTGCCGTAAACTATGAGCATGGACCAAAAATTAGTTCATTCAGTTTACATGGTGATGTGAGACGATGGAGATGCACAACTACTACAATATTCTCCACTGTATCGACGACCCTTTGGCCGGGTATAAACAACATTGATGACCCTTTGGCCGGGTATAAACGCCATTGATGACCCTTTGACCGGGTATAAACGCCATTGATGATCCTTTGGCCGGGTATAAACGCCATTGATGACCCTTTGGCCGGGTATAAACACCATTGATGACCCTATGACCGGGTATAAACGTCGATGATGACTCGACGGCCGAGTATAATGTTGTGATATTTTGAAGACGTGTTCAATCTTACCCGTGTTACCACGTATGAGCTTGTCGGGGGGGTATTGGGAGATTGAGAGGTCGAGATCGACCGAGAGTGAACGGTTAAAATGAGTGACCGAGATTATGGAAATATTGTCAATATCGAAGATTAGGAAAGTTAATATTTGTGTATAAGTTAGATTTCCTATTTCATAAATGTAAAGAACTTGGTGAACAAGTTATTATCTTGTATAAATAGAAACTATTCTACTACTAAGCTTTCCTCCAAAATCTATCATTAAGATCTTGCTCCATGACACTACCTTGGTCGTCTTATCATCAATCTTATTTCTTAACCATATCTCTTTCCATGTTGAATTTTCGCGTTGTCATAACACATAAATTTTATCTTCTCTAACAATGGATAGAGCCACGGTTTCATAACAACCCATAAGGAGTGAACGGAAGAAGTATACGTTCAAATATTTATGTTGTAAACTCACTAAGAATATGCCGAGTTGTTTCTCTTTTTCATCCCAAGAACACCAATAAGTCTTTCCCTTCAAAGACTCGTGCACGGTAACAATATTCAATAACTTGAAGCCCAGAGTTGACATCAAGAATCCTCCATGAATTCGAACAAATCTCACAAACTGCAAAGTCATGTCTATAGCTCAATATTTTATAGCTATTATCGTTGGATTTCTTGTCTTGACAAGAGCATAGGTGTCGCCATACTCGTCGTAACAATCTTTTTGGTTGGAACCCCTGTTCAAAAATGCGGCCACCGCGGTCGCTTAATCGGCGGTCAGGCGCTCGGCGGCTGGTGGCCGCTGCGATTTAAGCATAATCGCTCAGAAAATCGAAAATCTCAAATTTATTCACTTTTTAGTTGATTTTTGGCTCAAAATTGAGTGTATGGTTATAGATTTATCATAATAGACTAAAACTCACAAAGAAAAATAGGAAAAATCGATAACAATGGTGAAAAAAATGAAAAACGGCAGAAATTAGGGTCACATTATCGCTGGATAGAAGAAGAAGACGAGGGTAAAATTCTAAAAATTCGTCATTAAGATAAAAAAAAACGAAAAAAATAGAACTGGGCTTAATGGGCTTCGAACCCAGGCAAGCGGTTACGTGTTTATACACCCAGACCATTAGGTTATCTAATATTCTTTGTCATATTGGGAATATTTAATATATAAAGACGTATATTGG